TTTTTTTTTTTTTTTTTTTTTTTAAGTCTCAAAAAATTCTTGAAAGTTGCGGCCGCACCCAACTGCGGTCGGAGCTGCGGCGGCCGTGATCACGGTCGCCCGCCGAGTTTGACCCCGCGGTAGTGGCCGTGGGTGATACATAACCTGTCGGTTCTCGTGGCGGCTGCTACAGTGGGTCCTTCAGTCGCCGACTGGCTTGCTACGGGAAATGCGATGGGGCTCATCGATCGCATCAACATTTCCATTCATATGTTTTATACCCGTTGTTGTTTTTTTACTCTCCTGCATTAGACTTACCAAAGTTCGTGTTAGTTTTAGTATTGCGCCAGAGTCATCCACCTTCTTTTCCACAGGGGCGGGGCCTGCAGAGGGAATGGATGGTAAGGGAGCAACGCTGGATCCAGGGACAATCCTCTTGACTGCCACCTGTTCTAAGTAGGTGACGGGTCCCGAGACAAAACCCGTATTCTCGAATTTATCTTGAAGTGCAGCTAGTTCGACTTTTGTCTGAGCTAGTTACGTGGAGTTGCCTTATTGGACGCGATCCTTCCCTTTAAGGAAAGTAACGGTAAATTTCCTTTCCATTTCTTCAGCCGCCTTCATGATCTCTTGCATCGTGTGGATGATGGGAGAAAACTGTTTTCGTAGCTTGACTCTCATCACCCGATTTTTGATACCATCAATAAATAAATACCATCCCACCTTTTCGTCTCATTCTGATTTAACAAATAACCAAAAAATTTGCTACGATATTCGACGATAGATTCAAGAGGCTTTTATACTCGATCCTTGATCATGAAGAACACTTGTTCTAGATGTATATAATTAAACCGATGCAAAAAATCCTTCTCAAAAGTTTGAAGATTACTAAACCAGTGATGCGCAGCTCCACCTAAGCAAGCCGGAATATTGATTTAAGCCTCATGATCTCCGTACTGCTATGTCTGGAGGGTGGCTAACCATGCTCCTGCTAGGTGATATGCTGAACCAAACAGGTACAGATTCGGAGGGGCAGCTGGTGTGCGCACGTGTGCAGGGACCGGTGTTGCTTGTCCAGTGGGATTTGACGCAATATTTTGATTATCATTAACCACCGGGTTAGCATTCATTTGGCCCTCAATCATCCCCCGGACCTACTCCGAGTGACTACAGGCTCCCTTGTCGGCTCATTTTTATTTTTAGATCGTCATAGACTTGGGCTCGATCGATCAGCTATGGAGACCAATTACTTACCTAGTCCTTAGATTGACACGTGTCGGCGCTCAATACCAACCTCATGCCAGCGTGACTTCCTGATCGGAGTGGGTAGTGGGTCCCCAAGTAGCGAGAAAGGGGGTGTGCCAAGGATTTTAGGGAAAAAAAATATGGGGGGAGTCCCATATCAGAACTGGAATCTTCGGTGCCAATATTCTAGGGGCAAGGATCTAAGTGGTCTGGGCTGAGAAGGGGCGTTTCTGAGTTTTTCGAAGCCCCAGCGTAGCCTCGACCGTTGGTGCGTGCAATTGTGGTCGTCCAATTTCAATGCGGCGGGCGCGTACTTCGCGGTGGGTGCTCCTACTCATGCAGATTAGGTAATTGCGGGCCCGTCGGAGAAGGATCATGTGTGCGCTCGTATACACTACGGGCCGCGTCGTCGGATAATTGTAGCGTATGCACGAATGCGCATGGATCCCCTTCATCAGACATTGAAGAGAACGGCCCACATTCCATTTTTTCACTTCAGCACTCCGATCTCAGACAAGCATCCAGGTTCTCCAATCATAACTAGGAAGTGGGCGCACAAGAATACAAACAGTCAAAATTACGGAAGAAGGCAATCGAATTTACAGTCACCATATCCAACATTACTTCAATAAGGAAAGACAATGTGAGAGGTGCTCAGAAGGAAGAACAAGATTTACACAATCAAAGGTCCATCTGTATTTTCCAAAAATGGGAACAATGAAACTCGTAGTTCCGAATGCCAAAAATTCCGAGAGGGACAGAAGAGGAAGAAGTATCATACACCCCAGCTCTCTCTCTCTCTCTCCTGTCTCTTATACACATCTAGATGTGTATAAGAGACAGCTCTCTCTCTCTCTCTCTCTCTCTCTCTCTCTCTCTCTCTCTCTCTCTCAATCTCCAACCCCGGGCGGTCGGTCGACTCACACCTACCAACACCTCCGAGTTGTCATCCCGCTTAGCCGCTTAGCGCAAGTACGCACGCTGGATTTACCCGTGTTCCAAAGTCCGTCGTGGCCACACTGCAATCACGCACACTCTCCGCCAGCCCGTCAGCTCGCCCAATGGTGAACTCACCTCGTCGTCGATCCGTACCCGTTAGCGGATCCTCTGGACCGCGCTAACCTTCTAAATTTGATCACAGACAATTTTGTCGCGCTTGCAAAATTTTTAGCTCTAGCATCAGCACGAGATAGTCGGATTATGTTGAGCTAGAGGAAGAAGGGAGGAGGAAGTGCCTGCGGTAGGCATGCCTGAGCCACGGCGTGGGGGACGTAACCACTCTCCACGCATCGATCCAGTCATGCACCGTTGTGGCCAATGAGATGGGGGGGAGAGTGGCTGTGCGTTTCGGCATGACGAGAAACCAGGGGCAAGAAAATTACAGTTACACCCCCACTCATCAAGAAGACATTACAGTTGAGATTAGAATTAAGGCGCGGCGGGAGCAGAGTGCGGGACGCAGCGTAGCAGAGCGCGCGCGAGGAAGGAGCACCGTGCAGTTTACCAAACAGAAAATATGACGACCCCAAAATCCTAATTTAATTAAAGTCCTCATTCCTATTACTCCCATATTTTCGCCAGCATTTCAAAATTCAAAAAGACTTTCCGCGCAATAACCGTGCCAAAGTTCCCTTCCCCATTTCCAACAGAAAAAAGAAAGAGGTCGCATAAACCTTTATTTCTGCGCTCGCTAAGGCGCATCCTAACTACCAACCGCCATGGGACCAAATTTTCGCGAAACAAGGCAAAAAAAGGTAAAGAATAGGGGTACTTGTGTAATTGGATCATGCACCTTCCCCCCCCAGCTCCCAAAATGCAATCGCGCAGAAAGTCGTGCAAAACTGAAAGTAGTTCGTCACAGCAAATGCTGGAAACAAGGTCCAGCGTCCCTGACTTCCCTTCAAACAATCTTCTACCCAAAATCATGAAGCACCGGCTGGATAAATCCAGCGCCTTCATTCTAAAAAACAGATTGAAAAGACATCCCGTAGGGAAGGTTGTCCTACGACTGAAAATAGGGTTCAACATCCCCGCGTCAGCCCGCAGAAAACCTTCGATGTCCGACCACTGACCCGACGGACCGCTTCTGCACCAGCAACTCCGTGTCGACGGTGCCATGTGCTCGACGCAACGAGTCCGTGAAACGCGGGAATCCTAAATTTTTCAGTAGGTCGGGGGCTACTGGAAAATTTAGGACGATTTTGCCCGGGGAGTCCTAACGCCGTTTTCACATTTTCGATCTCAAAATTGGATTTAGGATTGCGTGCAACCAAGACGCAATCCAAAAAACAGGCACTTTTAGGAGTGTCTAACGAGACCCTTACTCAATTTATGGTTCCATGTGCACTTGAGGAAAACCTTGAACAGGCTGCACTTGAAACCGAACTCCACCGCTTGACCAATCCTGGACCAGGATCGCCTGCTGGAAAAAAAAACAACGAAAAAAAGGCCCCACCCAGAGTGGTGGTGGTAAGGCTGGCACTTGAACTCAAGGTGCCTCTGGGAGGTGACTTGAATTCAAGGGCGATTTTGGTTGTATTGCCCTTGAGTTTCAAGGGCGCACCCTTGGGATGCAAAAAAGTGAAAACAAAGCTGGTCGCTCTAAGAGGGGGGGGGAACGTTGATTTTTTGCATTGCGCTTGAACTCAAGTGGTGTGGAACGAGGCTCATACTCATGCAAATTTCCTTTCCTAGTAAGTAAACGAAACTAATATATCAAAAAAAGAAAAAAAAAAAAGAAAGAAAGAGCTTCGTTTGGCAATATTAGCAGACTGGAAAAGATATGGTCTCATCTGGTTTAGCAGAACATGGGCGAAAAAACACTTCTTTGCTGCAATAACGGAGGGGGGCAGGATGGCAATTTGGACAGTGGTTGAGGTGACCACTGTAACCTGATCCGACAACAGATCTCGAGCCAAGATAGGCTCCCTCTGGGTACCTACTCCATCATGGAGAATGCGGCAGCCGTATTAGGCTGTCTGGCAGCAGTTTCAAAACAATATTGACAAAAAAAAAAAAAAAAAAAAAAAAAAAAAAAAAAAAAAAAAAAACAGTATTGGCAGCGAAAGCTTTGTGAGCAGGTGGTTGGGACATTAGATTGGAATTACGGTCTGGACACCAGTCAGCAATGGACGGACATCGGCGACGCAGCTGCGTATACGCATATGAAAACCGGCCGCAGGAGACCTTTTAGGACGAATCCTAAAAGATGATTTTTAGGATTGCGTGTAAAGACACCGCAGGAAATCCTAAAAATCCTTTAGGACTCGGCCTAAAAGTTTCAGGATTCCTTTAGGAGTGTCTAACGAGACCCTAAGTGTAAATTAATCACAATTTCTGGCTTAGTGTGCACTTGAAACTGAAGTATTTTCAAGTGGTGTGGAACGAGGCTCTATATGCTTGCGGCCTGCCCCAAGCTCTTTCTTTATCTGCCCTCTGTTTTCCCCTTTTATCTATTCATGAGATGTGAACGGCCCCGAATTTATTTTGTTCATCTCATCCCCTCTGGATTCGAACTCGACCGTTCATCGGGTGTACCGACTGAGCCTTTTTTTTTTTTTTTTTGGGAAAGACTGAGCCATTTCAGTTCGCTGTAAAAAGGAAAAAAAGAAAAAATCTGACGTGGCGTGCGCCCACCCATTGGGCCCTTGTTTGAGTTTTCCCGCGTATCTTAATTTGATCCGTTCTCGACCGTTCATTGGTTCTCGACTGTTCATCGAATGTCGAATGTCGACTGTCTGGAGGAAGAAAGCTGGAATCAGAGTAGTGGATGGAACTAGCGGCTGTTCGAGAAGCTCATTTCTGCGTCACGGGCTTTTATTTGACTACCGGTAGTATGTCTCTTTCCTTTCCTCCTCTCTCTTGCCCTCCCAAAAGCCTCCCTGTTCTCTACTTCTCTTATTCACATTTCCATCGTACAGCCCCGATATCTACGTTGACCACGGAGATGGTCCTTTCTTCATGTCTTCTGGTCATCACTCTCCATTCGTCGGCCATGCATGTACTCAGATTTCCAGTATGAAGTTGCTTGTGTTCCCAATTCGTTCTTCGTCGTGATGGAATCATCTTGATGCCGTCTTCTCGGTTCGGCCTTCTGATTCAATCTAAATCCGCAACTTGACCACCTTACTTTTCTTCATCTTTTGTCTCGTCCTTTTGCTTCTCTCTCTCTCTCTCTCTCTCTCTCTCTCTCTCTCTCTCTCTCTCTCTCTCTCTCTCTCTCTCTCTCTCTCTCTCTCTCTCTCTCTC